GCTCAAATCTATCCTGCCTCAAAACAAGCTGTAGAAGTAAAAAGCCCGCTCCCGCTCCCCTGCCCCTCATCCTGTGCCCTCCCCAGCCTTTTTTTTCCTTCCTGGTTTTCACTGCGCTCGTTGGCAAGGTGATGTCTCTACTTTTTCATTATATACCATTTCCCAAAATGATACTGTTATCTTACATGACCACCACATATAGCAAAAGGTACCCACTTCTTTACATTTCCAGCAGATATTTGAACTTACTCTATATGTTTTAGATAACTTACTAGGAGTCAAATACCACCAGTACATCATTTTCATGTAGTTTTCTTTCAATGTACAGCAAGCTGTGAATTTCAGATCTGTTTTCCAAAGCCTCTCCCAATCTGCCATTTGTATGTTATATCCTAAGTCCCTTTCCCATTTCGTCATAACTGATTTGACCTGTTCATCCTTTGTATACCGTTCTAGGAGCAAGTTATACATTTTAGACAGAACTTTTTATGTTACTTCCTAAGAGTTCTTTTTAAAATTGTGATGTCTCATAACTAAAACCTTTCTATTTGTCTATCTTAAAGATAGTGTTTAGTTGATGGTACTGTAACCAGTCAGTTACAGCTTCCCTTATCACTTCAAAATCTTTTAATTCCAGTTGGTTTTCAACTTCAGTTAACAGCTCTGTATAAGTCGGCCAGTTACTTCTCATATTCAATTTTTTTTCAGAGATATTGCTTCCAAGGGGGAAAGCCACCAGGGTGTTTTTTACTCAAGCAATTTTTTTAAAATAGATATTTATTGAAGTTTCAGAAATTATATACAAAAGAAAAACAAACAAAACACAGACAAAAAAGAACAAGTATAATTTCAATTCCTTATTTTCTTATGCCTTACTTCGCTGACCTCCTCCTACCTCCCCTTTCTGTATTCCAATTTCAAAATATTTATTCAGCAAGTCCTCTCCCTTAATTTCATTTAGATTTACCATTCTTTTCTTTTAACTTAGACATTACTACTATAAATCACTTAGCTCCTAAACCATCATCATTCTAACATTTATTAACCCTTTCTTCAGTTTATTTTTGATAACCTTATTTTCATTTAGTTTAGTTCATTTAAAAAAAGAGAAATCCAGTTTTATCTTATCCATACTTAATCATCGAGCTTATACCTCAGTTCATATTCTTAAAACATTTTTTCTAAGGTCGACCAAGATTCCCTTCCACGAATTTCCCAGTTTACATAGCAATAATAAAAAAATAAAAACAACAAAATAAATTGTAATTATGAACCCTTTGGATTCCCAAACTCCACCCCCCCTTCCCGGTTTCAGTCCCCAAAAGTATCCATCAGTCTTAATCTACTATCAGCCTGGAGATCTCACGTCCGAGGCACTTACCGTAATTGTCTTTCAGTTCCTCTCTGCCGGTCTTTTTGATAGACCTTGATATTAAACACCAAATCTTGGAGAGGCTCCGGCCCAACAGGATCCATGTTTTTTCCAGCTAGGCCTCCATACTTAAAAGTAGAGCCCATGGGGTGTTCCATTTCTTGTTTCTTGCTCCTTTCCAGTCCAAAAATCCCCAAAGCTCTAACCTCCACCTTAATCACATTTGTAATCCTTAGGTCTTCTGATCTCCACATAAGAAGATCTCTCCATTTCTCAATCTCCAATTCAGGCCAAGCTTTCCACATCAAATTTTTATTTTCCTTCATTGCCATCATGTCAGGCCTCAAAGTAGAATTCTCTTTTAGCATCTGCACACCGACTCCTCCTTCCTTTTCTTCAAGGGCAACATATGTCTCCTTATCCATATTCTCAAAACTCTCAGATGTCTCTATTTGTCCAGTTAAATGGGCTCCTTGTTTCCAATCCTTATCCAATCCAAGAATGTTATTTACTGTTAAATCCAGAGTTGAAACATTAGAGTCCAGAGTTGAAACATTTGTAGCCATAACATCAAATTGACCTTGTAACTTTCCTAAGAGAACAAATGCTCTATCCAATTCATCCTGGATTTTCCCACCTCCAGACATTTCTGTAATGTCACCAAGTCCCTCTAGGGGGATTTTAGTTCCTTAATATTCTTTTCAGCTCGAGTCCAGAAATCCAGTTATTTTGTAACAGCAATTCCTTATTGTCAACAAATTGTAACAGATTGTAACCAATGTAACCGGCAGAAACAACAATAACAGTGTTCTCTTTTTCCGTCTTGACAGCCGACTTGACAGCTGTCAAGCTCTTCAATACTTCATCATCAGGCTCTCGGGGCGGTCCCGGGTCCGGGGGGGATAGAACTTCAGCTCTCAAAATCAGTTCTTAATCCTCCAGTAAAGATTTTGTAATATCAAACCGTGAAATTAAAGTCTTTTACAAGAGAAAAGAGAAAATTTCTTACGACCTTAGGTAGCAGGTCCTTTGCTTTATGATGTTTACAAAGGGGGGGCGGACTTCCTTTTTAACCCTTCCCCGCTCGTTCCTAATTCAAAGAAATTCTTCCTTTAGAGCCCAAATTTCCATGTTACTCACGGGTTGTTACTTTGAAATCCGATTATTCAAAAGAAGAAGTCAGCGCTCTCCGACAATGGCTTGCGGCTTCACTCCACAGAAGAAGAGGAAGTACTCTCAGCACCGCACCGCACCCCGACCCCGTTCCAGAGCCTTTAAAAAGGCTCCTTCGCAGATCGGGGGGCGCAAATGGTGCCCGCCGAGTCACCACGTTCACAGGCTTCTCCACCTGTGATTTTTTAGGGTCCCCGCTTCGCCGCAGCGGCAAGACCCGATCCTGCAGAGCCGATTCCCTCCAGAGCTCGGAGGGAATCCGCCATTAGTCCCCTACTCAAGCAAATTTTTATACTTCTCCCATACCCTACAAATTTATTTTCTTATTATATGAGTCTGAAAAGCTCTATGCACCTTGGCCTTTTCCTACCATAAATATGCATTCTATCCATTATTTGTGTCCTTCCAGATCTAAAATACAGTATCTGTGTTTTCCAATGTAGTCCATTCCTGGTTCTAGCAGATACAGGCTGTTTCATAATAAAGTTTCAAACCCGGCAGGGCAAAACCTCCTCTCTCTCTTACATCTGTTAATAATTTATTTTTAATCCTTGATTTTGTCACTTGGATAGCTTGAAAAAGAGGATTAGACTGATGTCTGTGCTCTGCCCTCATGGTCCTAGGCAATAATGCTTCTTGATACTAGTTCCTGGAAAGCAAGGGAAGGCAGAGGGCTCTTGTACTCAAATCCTGCTTGCTGATTTCCCACAGGCATTTACCGTATTTTTCGCTCTATAGGACGCACTTTTCCCCCCTTCAAAAATGAAGGGGAAATGTGTGTGCGTCCTATGGAGCAAAGACGCCATAGCCCAGCGACCCTCTCCCGGCTGGAGAGGTAACGCGGGGCTATGGCAGGAGCCTCTATAGCCGCGTGTCACCTCTCCAGCCGGGAGAGCGCGCGCAGGGCTAAAGCAGCCCCCCGCGACCCTCTCCCGGCCGGAGAGGTGACGCGCGCCTATGGCAGGAGCCTCCATAGCCGAGCATCACCTCTCCAGCCGGGAGAGCGCGCACGGGGCTAAAGCAGCCCCCTGCGACCCTCTCCCGGCTGGAGAGGTGACGCGCGCCTATGGCAGGAGCCTCCATAGGCCCGCGTCACCTCTCCAGCCGGGAGAGCGCGCACGGGGCTAAAGCAGCCCCCCGCGACCCTCTCCCGGCTGGAGAGGTGACGCGCGCCTATGGCAGGAGCCTCCATAGCCGAGCGTCACCTCTCCAGCCGGGAGAGCGAGCACGGGGCTAAAGCAGCCCCCCACGACCCTCTCCCGGCTGGAGAGGTGATGCACACCTATGGCAGGAGCCTCCATAGGCGCGCGTCACCTCTCCAGCCGGTAGAGCACGCGTGGGGCTAAAGCAGCCATAGCCCCGCGACTCTCTCCCAGCTGGAGAAGTGACGTGTGACTATGGCAGCAGCCTCTCTGCTGCGCCTTTACCCTGCTCCCTGACCTGCTCTTTGGGGCTGGTGGTGGGCTTCCCCCCGCCAGCCCCAAAGAGCAGGTCAAGGAACCTGAAGCCTGGAGAGCGAGTGGGGTCGGTGCGCACCGACCCCTCTCGCTCTCCAGGCTTCCAAGGTAGCTGCCTGAACGCACCTTAAACGGCACCTTGTTTTAGAGCGGGAAAACAAGAGGGGGAAAGTTCTCCCACTCTCTGCGCAGCGCCTCCTGCCGCTTCACTGAAGGGGCGCTGGGCAGAGAGCGGAAAATTTTTTTCCCCTTGTTTTCCCCCCTCTAAAACAAGGTGCGTCATATTGTCCGGTGCGTCCTATGGTGCGAAAAATACAGTAGTTGGCCACTGTGAGAAGAGGATGCTGGACTAGGTCGTCCTTTGCCCAATCGAGCAGGCTCTTCTTATGTTCTGATATAGGCATCCCCTAACTTGGCTCTCCAGATGTTTTGGGACTACAACGTCCATCATCCCTGGCTAACAGGACCAATGGGAATTGTAGTCCCAAAACATCTGGAGGGCCAAGTTTGGGGATGCCTGTTCTAAGATATTGCAATATTTTTACAGTTACTTGTGGCACAGTAACACGAAAGTTTGACTTCTTAATCATAGGGGAGACTGCTACTTGAGCCTGTGATCCTTTCCTCCCTGGACAAAGAGAAATACAGAGATGTGTCTAAGAAGCCAATTCCACCACAGATTATAAAATAATGCAGTTTATTAAGTGTGAATGGAGTGATCATGTGTTTTTCTTGCCATTATCTCACCTGAATTCCTAAAAGTTTGGAACATAGAGAGGACAGTGGAGAAAGGAGACAGTGTTAAAATAAGAGAAGGTGCATACTGGGACTGACATGTGTTCACTTCCTTTCTTGTCTTTCTTGAAAGTCTTAACAGGATTCTCTTCCCCCTCCCCCACTCTCAAACAGGTGAGGAAGATGTTGGCCAGAATTCTATGGAGCCATCTGTGAATTAATTGGGAAGAACAAAGAAACAGTTTAAATGCCTGGAATGTGGGATGTGCTTTAGTCACAGTGGAAGACTGAGGACACATCAACGAATTCACATAGAGGAGAAACCATTTAAATGTACTGACTATCGAAAGAGCTTCAGGGAAAATGGAACTCTTAGAAAACATCAACGAACTCACACAGTGGATAAACCATTTGAATGTATTGAATGTGCAAAGTGCTTCAGTCGAAATGGAAAGCTTAGAATACACCAACGAACTCACACGGGGGAGAAACCATTTCAATGTATTGAGTGTGGAAAGAGCTTCAGTGAAAGTAGAGCACTAAGAAAACATCAACGAACTCACACGGGGGAGAAACCATTTAAATGTCTAGAATGTGGAAAGAGCTTCAGTAGAAGTGAACACCTTAGAATACACCAACGAACTCACACGGGGGAGAAACCATTTGAATGTATTGAATGTGGAAAGCGCTTCAGTGTAATTGGAAACCTTAGAAATCATCAACGAACTCACACGGGGGAGAAACCTTTTAAATGTATTGAATGTGGAAAGTGCTTCAGTCGATATGGAACACTTAGAATGCACCAACGAACTCACACAGGGGGGAAACCATTTAAATGTATTGAATGTGGAAAGTGCTTCAGTCAAAATGGAACACTTAGATTGCACCAACGAACTCACACGGGGGAGAAACCATTTGAATGTATTGAATGTGGAAAGAGCTTCAGTGGAAGTGGAGACCTTAGAAGACATCAACGAACTCACACGGGGGAGAAACCATTTAAATGTATTGAATGTGGAAATAGCTTTAGTAGAAATGAACACCTTAGAATACACGAAGGAACTCACATGGGGGAGAAACCATTTAAATGTATTGAATGTGGAAAGTGCTTCAGTCAAAATGGAACACTTAGATTGCACCAACGAACTCACACGGGGGAGAAACCATTTAAATGTATTGAATGTGGAAAGAGCTTCAGTCGATATGGAAGCCTTAGAAGACACCAACGAACTCACATGGGGGAGAAACCATTTGAATGTATTGAATGTGGAAAGGGCTTCAGTGGAAGTGGAGACCTTAGAAGACATCAACGAACTCACACGGGGGAGAAACCATTTAAATGTATTGAATGTGGAAAGCGCTTTAGTCAATATGTACACCTTAGAAAACATCAACGAACTCACACGGGGGAGAAACCATTTAAATGTATTGAATGTGGAAAGTGCTTCAGTCAAAATGGAAGACTTAGATTGCACCAACGAACTCACACGGGGGAGAAACCATTTGAATGTATTGAATGTGGAAAGCGCTTTAGTCAATATGTACACCTTAGAAAACATCAACGAACTCACACGGGGGAGAAACCATTTAAATGTATTGAATGTGGAAAGTGCTTCAGTCAAAATGGAACACTTAGATTGCACCAACGAACTCACACGGGGGAGAAACCATTTAAATGTATTGAATGTGGAAAGTGCTTCTGTCAAAATGGAACACTTAGATTACACCAATGAACTCACACTGGGGAGAAACCATTTAAATGTATTGAATGTTGAAAGAGATTCAGTCGATATGGACACCTTAAAAGACACCAACGAACTCACATGGGGGAGAAACCATTTGAATGTATTGAATGTGGAAAGAGCTTCAGTGGAAGTGGAGACCTTAGAAGACATCAACGAACTCACACGGGGGAGAAACCATTTAAATGTATTGAATGTGGAAATAGCTTTAGTAGAAGTGAACACCTTAGAATACACGAAGGAACTCACACGGGGGAGAAACCATTTAAATGTATTGAATGTGGAAAGTGCTTCAGTCAAAATGGAACACTTAGATTGCACCAACGAACTCACACGGGGGAGAAACCATTTGAATGTATTGAATGTGGAAAGCGCTTTAGTCAATATGTACACCTTAGAAAACATCAACGAACTCACACGGGGGAGAAACCATTTAAATGTATTGAATGTGGAAAGTGCTTCAGTCAAAATGGAACACTTAGATTGCACCAACGAACTCACACGGGGGAGAAACCATTTAAATGTATTGAATGTGGAAAGTGCTTCTGTCAAAATGGAACACTTCGATTACACCAATGAACTCACACTTGGGAGAAACCATTTAAATGTATTGAATGTGGAAAGAGCTTCAGTCGATATGGAAACCTTAGAAGACACCAACGAACTCACATGGGGGAGAAACCATTTAAATGTATAGAATGTGGAAAGAGCTTCAGTCGAAATGGAACACTTAGAATACACCAACAAACTCACACGGGGGAGAAACCATTTAAATGTATTAAATGTGGAAAAAGCTTCAGTCAAAATGGAAACCTTAGAATACACGAAGGAACTCACACGGGGGAGAAACCATTTAAATACCATTTAAATGTATTGAATGTGGAAAGTGCTTCAGTCAAAATGGAACACTTAGAATGCAACAACGAACTCACACAGGGGAGAAACCATTTGAATGTATTGAATGTGGAAAGAGCTTCAATGATAGTGGAAACCTTAGACAACATCAACAAACTCACACGGGGGAGACACCATTTAAATGTATTGAATGTGGAAAGTGCTTCAGTCAAAATGGAACACTTAGAAGACATCAACGAACTCACACAGGGGAGAAACCATTTGAATGTATTGAATGTGGAAAGAGCTTCAATGATAGTGGAAACCTTAGACAACATCAACAAACTCACACGGGGAGACACCATTTAAATGTATTGAATGTGGAAAGTGCTTCAGTCAAAATGGAAAACTTAGAAGACATCAACGAACTCACACGGGGGAGAAACCATTTAAATGTATTGAAAGGGGGAAGAGCTTCAGTCAAAATGGAACACTTAGAATACACCAACGAACTCACATAGGGGAGACACCATTTGAATGTATTGAATGTGGAAAGAGCTTCAGTCGAAATGGAACACTTAGAATACACCAACGAACTCACACAGGGGAGAAACCATTTAAATGTATTGAAAGGGGGAAGAGCTTCAGTCAAAATGGAACACTTAGAATACACCAACGAACTCACACGGGGGAGAAACCATTTGAATGTATTGAATGTGAAAACGTTTTAGTCAATATGTACACCTTAGAAAACATCAACGAACTCACACGGGGGAGAAACCATTTAAATGTATTGAATGTGGAAATAGCTTTAGTAGAAGTGAACACCTTAGAATACACGAAGGAACTCACATGGGGGAGAAACCATTTAAATGTATTGAATGTGGAAAGTGCTTCTGTCAAAATGGAACACTTAGATTACACCAATGAACTCACACTGGGGAGAAACCATTTAAATGTATTGAATGTGGAAAGAGCTTCAGTCGATATGGACACCTTAAAAGACACCAACGAACTCACATGGGGGAGAAACCATTTAAATGGATAGAATGTGGAAAGAGCTTCAGTCGAAATGGAACACTTAGAATACACCAACAAACTCACACGGGGGGAGAAACCATTTAAATGTATTGAATGTGGAAGGAGCTTCAGTCAAAATGGACACTTTAGGAAACATCAACGAACTCACACCGGAGAAGCCATTTAAATGTACTGAATGTGGAAAGAATGTGGAAAGAGCTTCAGTCCATATCGACAACTTATAAGACACCAACTAACACATGGGGAAGAAACCATTTTAATGTATGGCATGTGGAAGGAGCTGCAGCAAAAGTAGAGCACTTAGAATACACCAACTAACTCATACAGGGGAGAAACCATTGGAACGTATTGAATGTGGGAAGAGCTTCAACAGGAAGGATAAACTTACATTACATTGGCGAACTCCCACAGTGGAGAAGCTTAAGTCAATATGGAACCTTAGGAAACATCCGCTGACTCACATGGGGAAAGCCAGATTTATGAAACGTGGAAAGAGCTTCAGACGGAGTGAAGACCTTACTATCCATAAGAAAATTCACACAGGCGGGAAACCATATAAATGTATGGAGTTTTCCACTCAGGTTTTACCAGATTTCCTGGGAAGTGAAGATTACTGTCAAGTCTTTGGATGTACAGAAAAGAATTTGGCAGTGTTTGTTTTCAATAATAATAATAGCAACAGCAACAATAATAACAATAATTTATGCCACACCCATCTGGCTGGCTTTCCCCTGCGGCAGAGCCACTCTTGGTGGCTTCCAACAAAATATTGAAATACAATAGTCCTTCAGATATTAAAAGCTTCCCTAAACAGGGCAGCCTTCAGATGTCTTTTAAAGCCTGGTGGCTGTTTTTTCCTTTGACATCTGGTGGGAGGGTATTCCACAGGGAGTAACTTCACTTCTCGGAGTGAGGCAACCGCCAGAAGGCTCTTGGTACTGGACCTCCATGTCCAGGCAGAACGATGGGGGTGGAGACTCTCCTCCTGTCACCAGTCTAGCCGCCGCATTCTGGATTAGTTGCAGTTTCGGGACCACTTACACAGGTAGCCCCACGTAGAGCGCATTGCAGTAGTCCAAACAGGAGATAACTGGAGCATACACTACTCTGGCAATACAGTCTAAGGGCAGATAGGGTCTTAGCCTGCGTACCAGATTGAGCTGGTAAACAGCTGCCCTGGACACAGAATTGACCTGCGCTTCCATTGACAGCTGCAAATCCAAAATGACCGCCAGGCTGTGCACCTGGTCCTTTAGGGGCACAGTTACCCCATTCAGGACCAGGGAGTTCTCCACACCTGCCTGCCTCCTGTCTCCCAAAAAGGACATCTACCTTGTCAGCATTCAACTTTAATATGTTAGCTGCCATCCATCCTCCAACCACCTCCAGACACTCACACAGGACCTTCATCATCTTCACTGGTTCTGATTTGAAAGAGAGGTAGAGCTGGGTATCCGCATACTGATGAACATCCAGCCCAAACCCCCTGATCTCTCCCAGCGGCTTCATGTAGAAATCTGAAAAGCATGGGGAGAGGACGGAACCCTGAGGCACCCCACAAGTGAGAGCTCAGGGGTCTGAACACTCATCCCCCAACACCACTTTCTGAACAAGCCCCAGTGTATAACAGTTCCTCCAGCTCCCAGCCCCTCTAGTTGATCCAGAAGGATGTTATGGCCAATGGTGTCAAAAGCCTCTGAAAGATCCAGCAGATCTAGGAAATAGCTCTCACCTTTGTCCCTAGCCCGCCGGAAATTATCGTGTCCAGGTCAGTTTCAGTCCCATGATGAGGCCTGAATCCCAACTGGAAGGGATCCAAATGGTCCACATCTTCCAGGCGTCCCTGGAGTTGTTCAACAACCACCCACTCATGCACCTTGCCAAAGAATGGAAGATTTGAGACTGGGCGATAGTTGGCTGTATTGGCTGGGTCTAAAGATTTTTTTTTAAGCAGTTTAATACAGTGGTGCCTCGGATTACATACGCTTCAGGTTACAGACTTCGCTAACCCAGAAATATTACCTTGGGTTAAGAACTTTGCTTCAGGATGAGAACAGAAATTGTACAGCGGCAGCAGGAGGCCCGATTAGCTAAAGTGGTGCTTCAGGTTAAGAACAGTTTCACGTTAAGAACAGATCTCCAGAACGAATTAAGTTCTTAACCTGAGGTACCACTGTAACTGCCTCTTTCAGTGTGTCTGGGAAGGCTCCCTCACAGAGAGAAGCATTCACCACCCCATGGAGCCCATCGCCCAGCCCTTCCCGGCTAGATTTTATGAGCCAGGATGGGCAAGGATCAAGGAGACAGGTGGTTGGTTTCACTCATCTAAGCAGCCTGTCCACATCCTCGGACATAACAGATTGGAATTGATCCCACGCAACTTTACTAGACAGGACTCTAGCACTCACCAGCCCCCGCCCTGCTCCCACGGGGGAGTCTACCTCTCTTAATCTGAGCGACTTTATTTGCAAAAACTTTGCAAAATCATTGCAGGAGATCATGTGGCCTGTACCGGGCACCATTGGAGAGATGGTTCCATTAAATTGCAAACCACCTGAAAGAGTCTCCTGCTGCTGTTTTCTGCAGATGCAATAGAGGGGGTGAAGAAGGTTTTCTTCACCTTCAGTATCGCCATTTGGTAGGCTCAACGTTGAGCTCTAACCCGTGTCCGGTCAGATTCAGAATGAGGTTTCTGCCACTGGCGCTCTACCCATCTCGTTGCCCTCAGATCCTTGGAAAACCATGGGATGGTTGCACTCCATGCAATCGGAGTGGGCTTTTTGGAGCCAGATACTCAATAGCCCTGGTTAACTCCACATTCCAACAGGCCACCAAGGAATCAGCTGAAAGGCCATCAACATGGGATAAAACATCCCCTGCCACTCTCTGGAAACCATTTGGATCCATTAAGTGGTGGTGGCGGACCATCCAAATCGAACCCACATCCCTGCAGAGGGGAAGGGTTGTGGAGAAGTCCAGTTGCACCAGGAAGTGATCTGAACATGGCACTTATTTAGTTTCGCTTTTACTTAGTGTCAGATCACCAACATCCATAGAGGAGAAAAACCAGGTCTAAGGCATTTCTGCGACTATAAGTTGGGCCAAACTTATTTAGGGACAGCCCATGGAGGCCATGCTTTCCACAAAGTCCCAATCGGCCCCTTGTAAGGTTGTGTCGGCGTGAATGTTAAAATCCCCCAGGACAACCAAATTAGGTGTCTCCAGGAGAACATCTGCCACGACCTGAAGCAGCTTGGGCAGGGAATCCTTGGTGCAGCGGGGTGGTCGGTACACCAAAAGGAATCCTGTACTGCCCCTATTGTCCAACTTCAAGAACATTCACTCAGAGAACTGGGTCTTCCCAATAGGACGCCTGGTGCAAATTAATGACTTCCTACAAATCACTGCAAATCACACCCCTCCCCTGCCCACATGACTTGGGTTGCTGTGCGTAAGAGAAACCTGATGGACAAGCAGTGGCAAGGACAGGTCCACCTGCTTCATCCCACCAGGTCTCTGTTAAACATGCCAGGTCAAGTTCTCCATCCACAATCAAGTCATGGATGGCAGTGGTCATATGAATCATTGACCTGGCATTCCATAGCGGCACCTTCGGGTCATGTGGGTCTCCCTTGCTGATTCCAGTATCCATCCAAATGACACCAGACCCGGAGGCAGGGATAGTCCTCAAACTGAAATGGGGGGCCATGCTATTTGGTGACCCTCTTTTTTCTTTTTTAATTTATACTTCTACATCACACAAACAAGCATTGAATAAAACGAACAAACAATAGAAAACAGAAGAAAATGCAAAAACTAAATTACAAGGATCTAAACATAATATGCAATCAAAAATACAAAACATTATATTCTCTCCAAAAAAGGAAAAAGAACGAAAAACACCCAAAAAAGAAAAAGAAAGGGGGGGGGAATGACTTCTAACTAACTCCATGTGGCTCTTTATTCTTCATATCACTGGTTGTCTGTAATGATTAATTTTTTGGAGAATTATTCTAATTACCTGTGAGATTTTTATCCTAAACTAAGCCAAGTATGAATCTGGAAATCGGTTCTCTTCGTATAATTTATAGAGACTTCCCACTCTCTCCTTATTTTCTTATTAGAATAACTTCTTATTAAACCTGTAAGTCTGGCCAATTCAAGATATCCTGACAATTTAAGAACTCTTTCTTCTTTTGTTGGTGTTATGTTACTTTTCCAATTTTTAGCCATTACTATCCTGGCCGCCATTACTGCATACAAAAATATTATTTTGGTTTCTTTTGGGATGTCTGTTGTTAATAGGCCCAAAAAAACCTTTCTGGTTTTTTGGAGAAAGTATGTCTTAACATTTTATTTAATTCTTCATTAATGGTATCTCAAAATTATTTAATTTTAGGGCACGTCCACCACATATGGAAGACATTCACTTCTTTAAGTTTGCACCTCCAACACTTTCCACTGGTGTTTTGGTACATTT